TATTTTATAGCCCTCTTTCAATGCATTGTTGGGGAATGCCACTAGGACATCATAAATCAGCAAGTAAAAAATGATAAAAAGAGGCCTGCCCTGTTTTAACACGTTGCAATGATAACAGATCATTATGACCTGGATATTAAAAATATTCATGCTCAATATAACTATTTTAAAGAAAACTAATCAAAAATGTAATGACAAATATGTCTTCCCAATTTCTCTTATTAGTAGGAACTCATACGTGCTTCTTGTAACAATTTTTACCTAAATTATTCATAAATAGTTGCCATAGATATCAAGGAAAAATGAACTGCAAGTTAAGTCACAATTGCAGGCAAGATATAATTTACAAGTTGAAAAGAACATACATACAACCATCTCCTATTTTTTTTTTTCTCTAGAATGACACTATGAAAGTGTTTGAGTGAAATTAAGGAAAAGGAAAAATTATGCCACAGTATAACTGCTGTATTTGCAAAAACCTGCAATTGAATTCTCAATCTTTTAACATATTTAAGCTAGAAAAACTGAACTTGACTTGTAGGAGTATCATGGCAAATGCAAAGAACAATTCCTGCCAGAGATGACAAAGGATGAGATGACCCCTAATTCTCCGTACAGATAAGAACATGCCTTACTAATCTTTTACTATGGGACTAATGTCAGCTTGCTTATTAAAATTCACCCTACTTCCCAAATTCCAAAACCATGCTAATTTCTTCCGAAATAGACAAGCTTAGCTTTTATGCAGATAGGAGACGACTGGACCAATAATATTTTATATATATATATATTCTCAGCTCATATAAGCCTCTTAACTCTTTGTAGAAGAGATTACTATCTAAATTGTTTTGGTAAATATAGATTTCAGAAACTTCAAAACTTTATGTTCCTAATACAACTAAAATAAAAGTGTCAAGAAGAGGCAGTTTAATTAAAAAGAAGATAAATGTACAGATTTAAACAATTTTGTTATAAAACACTATTTACTAAGTTATTATTCTATGCAGTGAAAGTAATTCTTAAGATTTTTTTACTTTTTGGCCTATTTCTGTAATTTACACTGATATCTTCTTGTAAGTATTCACTTATATGAATGTTTTTGACACAATTAAAACCCAACCTTTTTTAAAAACTCATACATTGCATAGTAAGTACTATGTAAGATAAACATTTTGTTTATGAGAAATGGAAATTTATACATGTCAAGGTACTTTTATAAATTTATTTTGAAAATCTAGAAGATCCCATGTTGATTTCAGAAGTTGTAAAAAAAAAAAAAAAATTAAAGGTACAGTTTTGCAGACAAAGTTTTTTTACTTACAGTTAAGAATTTCAGACTTATTTGTCCCTGTTAAGGTACAGGGAATAAAATAAAAAAGAAATCAAAATCTATATAAATTTAGAAAGACATAAAAAACATATAGAAATCTTCAGCAAGATAGCATGTCTTTCAAATTTACAGGCAATTAAGTATCCAATGAAGATTCTTACTGAAGCCACATTGAAGCTAGTAAAAGAGATCAATTGTCAGTATCACAGCTCCTCAGTGATCAGGCAATTGCAGAAAATTAGACTTTAAACACAGTTTACAGTGTGGCTAGCCAATAGGCTAACCATAGAAGATTGTCTTTCATAGCTGAATGTCTTCTGTCTCTAGAACATCAAAACTCAAATTAGTGGCATTCATTAATTTTAAAAAAATGTGATCACATCAAGTTATTTCATGCATTATTATTCATCCTGATCTAGAAATTTATTTTTAAAAACTGACATGGTAGGGAGCTAAAAGGAAACAATATTTGTACTTTCATCAGCAAGAGCCCTTATTGCAGGAAATCATGATCTATTTTAACAGATTTTCATTAAAATATACAGTCTTTTTAAGCCATGTGTGCATAAGCGCTCCAGAACACTGGTTTGCAGCTTATTATGTTAAATGCAAGGCTCACAAAATTGCCTCCAACTAAATTCTGGAGTCCCATAGAGCAGTCTGCCCAGAACCATGCCCAGATGGCAGTTTCACTTGCTAACTTTGCCAAACATGAATAAAACTTCAGCTGAAGTTTTCAATGTCAGTTTTCCTTTTCTACTTATTTTTAGAAAACATTCAAGCATTTCTAAGAATTAATTGCCCAAAAATTTCACAAAAAACCAGTAGAATTTTCAAACAAAAGTTTTGTAGCATCTTGGAGCTTTGAAGAACAGACTTTATTTCAATGTGCAAATGTTGTTTCAATGTGTAAACACACAAGTATGTTTACACAACAATCTGTAAATAGGATTTCATAAATCTGAAAAATTTGAGATTTCTAACACATATGTATCATATCTGAACTTTCTAAGAAGCCACAAACAGCTAATTGGAGGAATATTTTGAAGTAGAAAAATATCTGTAAAACCTTTTCCACTGAGACAACAGTAGAAACTGTGAGATCCAGTTAACACTTACACACATACAGTGTGTTGGATCAAGGAAATTTCTGAAAGTTTAATTCTTGTTATGACTGGACTCAAACAGGCCCTGGGCTGAATTGTCCACTGCATAGGCAATTCTCCTTCCTCTACATATCCTCCAGGGCACACTTCCTCACTAAACCGCTAATCAGCCAGATAACAAAGATCTTTAAGCACTATTGGATCCAACTTGACTAAGAAATGTTACTGATTCTCTGGGGGAAAAAAAAGAACAGAAATGAAACAAACAAAACAACACACTCCTCTCAAAAAAACAACAAACCCTAGTATACCACACAACTCCCAAGAATTTTCAGTAGGAAGTAAAATAACTGTAAAGCAATCATTCCAAGTAGTACAATTGTTGAAAATACAGACACTTCCACTATATGTAACTAGAAACCCCTGTTTCTGCCTATAATAGGCTTGAGGATTTAAATAGCTTAAGAAACTATTGGAGGCACAACCACTATGAAATGACAACTAAAACCTGAGACACTTGTCAGAACAGACAAAACCTGTCTGGAAGTAGCTATGGGACTGGCCACGTTCCATCGTTTCAAAGACAGAAAGACAGATGAAGTGAAGGAATGAACATCTACATTTTTCTTTTCCTCTCAGCATTGATGTTAATTTCCAAGCTCAGTGACTAGTTCAGAGTGCTCCTGAAGCACAGCATAACCCTGTACCTGTCAGAAATGAAGGAAGGGGGATACTTATTGTGAGACTAGGGTACAAGGTACAATCTCTGATGACTTGGAGATTTGGCCATTCTTACCTGCATCTAACTTGACACATCATCCAAAATCTGTGTATCAGGAGTAACCGACAGAAGATGAAGAATGAAGATGGTGGGGGAGAAACCAGTTTCTGTCAACCCAGAACTGAAAAGCTCTCCTTGCCAATCCAAACAGACAAACTGTATATTGCCTTTATGGCATAGTCTGCAAAAGTCATGCTGTAGCTCCTGTAGTCCTAATAAGAAAACTGTATGCTAAAATACCATCCCATCAGTTCACTGTCTTTTATTGATGAGTGTAGTCTACCCAATCACCTATTGAAAATCCCTACAATTTTTTTAAATGTCCCAATAAAATCCAAGTCACTACCATTGCTGCCAGATACATCCTTCAGGACATACTTGAAAGAAATTCTTGAGTCTGTAGACACAACTAACACAAATAATAAAAAGTATCAGCCCTTCTTATCTGTCCTTAAGCAGAGAGTTACTGAGCCAAAATTCCTGTCTGGGATAACATTAATGTGTCACAGGCTAACAATCAAAAATTCCGTCAATGCTGATAAATAAAACAGCTATAGCCTGAAAAGTGGCACAGTATCTCCCTTACTGTTTCCCACTCTAAATTTTTTTTTGTCCATAGCTTAGCCCATTCTCTAGCCTTTGTTAGCTTATTTATTCATCTAATAATTATTATGTGGATTACAATTGTCAATAATACAAAATATTATTAAAATTAACATTCCACCCCTCTCTAACCCAATTGTTTAATTATGTTTTTTCCAAGAATCTCCTTTTATCAGTGAAAAAATCTCCTTAAATTTACCTAGTCTTTGGTAAGAACAGTCTGTTTTATTTTTTTTTTATCAACTTTCCCTGCATTTATTGTAACATTTATAAACTCCCATGTAGTACTAGTTACAGACTTAGAAAAAAATAAGTATGCCTAAACAAAGAGTCAATAAAATCTACGTTTTAAAAAAGCTGACAGTTTTTCACATAAAAGCTACCTGTGTAGAAATTTCATTTAAAAAAAAAATTCTTCCTGGTATTTAATAAACTGAGAGCAAAAAGTTAGCATATTGTCACCCATCTCCAGTTGTGCTGTATACCTAACCAGTTTTGACAAATATCTGAAAGATGTTTTAAATATATAGAAAAAATTATAAAATCATGCAGGTGTTAATAACTCTTCAAGAATTCCATTAAAATGAATGCTGTTTACTTTGAGACACAGCTATCTGATCCTGCAAACATGAATGCCCATCTAGTTATTCTAGCAAAATTGTTCAGCCTAGTATAAGAACGGATTACTCTCTACTCTACAAATAAAAAGGTATTTAACATTGCCACTGTTTTTACATCCTGAATTTCAAGTCAGTTCAGTTTACATTAAAAATTATTTCAATTTTGTTGAATGACTATTGGATACCATTTTCTTTGTATTTCTTTTGCTTTATATTTGAAACATGCTTTATTGTTTTAAAGTTTACCAACAATAGCCTCTATTTAATACTCTCTTCCCACAAAAAAAAATGGATTCATATCTGGAACATAACACAGTGGCAGACTGCTGAAGGATTACAAAAGTTTTGTGTTAAAAAAAACTCTGCCAAAGCAGAGATATCTTAATAAGGATAATTTTTTTAATACAATGAAAAAATAAGATTTAAAAGATGCTTATGTATACAATTGCAGTCACATTTATTATGCTCCACATAACATTAAAGAAAGAGGTATCAATATAGTTCTACATTAAAGGAGCTGCAAAAAACAAGAAGAAATTATGTGAGACATTGAGTCTTACCTGACCAGTGTCCAGTGGTGGTACCTGATCTGTCAGTACATGTCTCGCTTACAGGCCTAAATACAGTCTCCCAGCCACCAGTAGCATAGCGCCAATTCTGAGACTCCAAAATGAGTGTTCGCTGAGTGCCATAAGCTATCATGAAGCAGTAGACTACATGATGAAGTTGACAACCATAGCCACAGCCTTTGTTGATATTACACACAAGTTTCTTAGCTTTGCTGCAATCCTTCGGGTTCTGTAAGTATGGATGAAAAAGTGAAGCTGAAGAGAAGATATACACAAAGGCATACTTTTTTGTGAAAAACTGATAAATGTCATAAATCACAAAAGCCATCCTGCTATAATATATCTCACATTAAAATGGATGAGTAAGCTTCAGCTCCATGAAAATTTTATGTGAATTCTTCACTGTGAACATGAGTAGTTATTGAACATACTTCACTATCCTAATGTAAAATAGAATACTGTCAAGATTTTAAATTACTTTCTCATTTGTAAATCTGTCAGAATAAGCTAACATTTGGACTTCACATTTCATCAACATGATTCTCAGTGTTGGAATGTTTTTTCCTTTGGTATTTTTCCAAGTTTGTTAGTTCTCTTTCACTAAGTATGCATGTCATCCAACAAAATTTCCACCTGTCTACACTATAGAGAATAAAACAAATGTTTATTAATGGACTGCTTCCCAGACTAACTGACCACTATACAGAATATAAAACACATACCTGACCAGACTGATAAAAGACAGTACTTTAATCTGCAGGCACTCTCAATAAAATAACACACATGTCCACAATCCAAGAAACAGTAACAAAGGAGGTAAATGTCTACATGATGTGAATGCTATGTTTAAAATTACAAACTAATAAATATTTTTAGCTATGTGAACAACACAACAACATAATCCACGAAGTTCTTCTTTCTGTGAAATATAGTACTTTGCTGTAAACACTCATACTTGCACGTATCCAGACATACTTCTGCATTCCAAAAAGCTTTTTATAAAACCTCTAGGATGAAAAGTTAGTTTTCAGTTAAGCTGCAAGAAGACTGATACCTGAGCATCAATATAAATTTTGTTCCCCTCGCATCTAAACAACTTTAAATAAAATTTCTGTAAATTTGCAACAAATCCGGTCTTTCCAAAAAATAACCATCACCATCTGGAGAACTGAGATCTCTCCATCAAGTGATCTTAAAGATAATCTGAATATTCTGAGTCTCACAATACTTAATAAAATTTTTAATTTCTTCATTCAGTTGTGTGAAGGAGGGGAGAATAGTTCAGATCTAGAAAAACAAACAAACCAACCAAATCCCACAATGTCTGTTACATCAGCATTTGATTTTTTTTTCCATTTTAATGAAATCTGATTCAAAGCATAACTAGCTATGAAAAACAATAAGTTGAATAAAATTTCCATTCCTAATTCTTGTTTCTCAGACCAGTACTCTACAGGCTGGTCAGTCTCCCCTCCTTGCCTGGCAAGATTATGGAACAGACCCTCCTGGAGACTATGCTCAGGCACATGGAAGATAAGGAGGTGATTGGTGACAGCCAACAAGGCTTCACTAAGGGCAAATCGTGCCTGACAAACTTGGTGGCCTTCTATGAGGGGGTTACAGCGTTGGTGGTCAAGGGAAAAGCAACTGACATCATCTACCTG